GGTCAGGCTGGGGCTCCCTCTGGCCAGTGAGTGTGACACAGGCAGGCAGACCAGAAGGTCTTCTGTCTAGAAGTAACGACTTCTTTTTGTCTTACACATCCCCAAGCAGAACCAGAGGCCCTGCTTCCTAAGCACTTACCTTGTTTTATGCTTTTACCTTGATGTGGTGAATTAGCAATAGACGAATTTCTCCAAAATTGAATGTAAATTAAAATCCTATAAACTAAATTCTATTTTAAATGCATGGACATGGAAACTTTTCTATTTAAGGGAATTTTGTGCATAATTTCACAAAGCTGTTTTCCTTGGGTCTATCACCTATGTCAATCTAATGACTATTCATGTCTTAAACTTGTTAAAGTAAAGCTCACCTCTTTTTGACTGCAGTGAAGCCTGAATAAGAGGGCCCTGGTGCTCAACTAGGTTGGAGCTTCTGGGAGGAGAAATGTTCCAGTGTATAGGCCTGAAGTTCTAGACTTGCATCATTCAGAGCCGAAAGAGGTGTTGGAGACTCTCTTTCTTGGGCCCCAGTGTCTCTTCTCAATAACAACTTCTGATTAATTCATTTGGGGTCCAGTGCAGTGCAGTGGAGGCGTTCTGCACCAGGAAGAGTCCTGGGGTTCTGATCCATGTTCTGAATTTACTTAAGTCAAGACTGAAATCATTGAACCTTATAGGGGTGCAGCTTCTGCATGTAAAAACTGGGGGCCTGTTACCATTATCTACCTTACAAAAGATGAGCTTGGGGTCCAGTTGTACACCTGCTGGACACTGGTGTGCCCCAACAGCCTTGTAGAGTGCACTTTCTAGTGGTCAGGTTAGGCTCAGCGGAATGAGGTCAAGGAAGGTGTCCCATATGATATCATTGAAATCTTTCTCAAAAAAGCACCCTTGAATGCGTCATCTGACAACCCATTTTTTTCTTTTCATGCAAGTTAACATAAAATAAACTTATTCCTGTAAAGAACTTATCTCTCAGCATCTTTGTGTTACTCTTATTTGCTTCCATCCCACAACCCGATAAAAGGGAGAGTGACCTCAACTCTGTGAAGTGAGCGTTAGCTAATACTGCCCCCTGGTGGTCAAGCTTGTCCTCACTGGGGCGCTTTTGGCCCAGGAGTTTTCCCAGAAATTCCTGTTGTTGGCCATTTGCAGAATTATCAGCAGGTTATCCCAGAAAAGTTGAAAGCACAAGAACTTGGGGAGGGATTCCAGGTCCAGAGAATATCTTATAGCAACACAAATCTGAAAACTGACTTTGTGGAGGACTATGTTCCAGGGAGGAGAGTCAGGTGGGGAAGATGTCATCAGTAGAAACTGCCCCCAACCCACCCTCCAGGGAGCTGAGCCCAGACAGAGCAGCAGGAATGAGAGCAACAATGAAAGGAGCCAAGGGGGTTCAGCCCTTGGCATGCCCAGTAGGACGCAGTGAGCAGCTGTCCTGGTCAGCAGGTGGAGCACAGCCACGTGAGGCTCCCTCCAGCAGCAGGAGCCCTGGGAGGATCCGGACAGCCAGATGGGTGTGCTCTGGGACTTGGGGTATGCCCTCTGATCCTCGAAGGAGGGTAGGGCCACAGAGCTGGGAGGCCTGAAGTGGAATGGCAGGCAGAAAACTAAGACATGAGGGGGAAGGATCTGGAGGGAATCAAATTCAGGGCTTGGGAAGCAAAGTGGAAGACAAGAATAAGTGTTTAAATCTCAGAACTAACCGAGCAGTTGGGCTCAGTTACCAGAATTGGGGCGAGGTTCCAGCAGGCCTGGCTGTGAGTCTGACCTGTGCCATAAAGGCTGCATAACTGGTGGGTGAGGAGAACCCTTTGGAGACTCTGGATGGAGTCTTCAGAGGGGAACAAACTACATGATGCTTGTACGTAAGGTGCTGACATTCCAGGCCTGCATGTCAGTTTTTATGAAATTCCATGTGCGACCTGAGGTTGGCAAGAACTAAGCTGTTTCTTCTCTGCCAGTCCCAGCAGGGGCTACTCTGCTCTGACAGCCGGCCTGCTCCTTCCTCAGTGTGTGTACCTGCTCTGGCCTTCCAAAGAAGGCCAGAGAAACTTCCCTACCAGGAAAATAAAGCTGCCACTGGAGCTGCTCCCCTGAGAGGCACCCCACCTCCTGAGTAGGAGTCGGGGTGACTCCTGCTGGTTCCACAGCCACTCTTCCTGAGCTTATGTGCACTTGAACTAGTTACCAGGCCTTTAAACCCAAATGGTGGAATGTTAGATGCTGAAGCAGAACAATGGGAGACATGTCTGGGAGTTTGGGGAAAGTCTCCTAGAACCCCTCAATGCACCACAAGTTGAAGAACCCCCTCCCCTCCTCAATCAGCTTAAAAATCCAAGCACTGAAAGTGAGCGGGTCCCTAAAAGCCCACCTGTGGGGCAGGGCTCCTGCTGCCTTTCTACTGGTTAAGAGACTGCTTTGGTCCCTAGCGGGAGCAAAATCAGTTCCCTGTAGCAGGCACTGTCAGCAGCGTGTCTTGCCTGCGGTTTATAGGAATCGGGACTACATTTTGCCGGCCTTATGCAGTGAATCAGCGGGACTTGAGAGGCACCTGTAGTCGCACTTTATAACCAGAGAAGACTGGGAAGCGCTGCCCACACCCTCTCCTAAACCACATTCGTACCAAAGGTCTGAGCTGTCTAGCCGAGGAGGAACTGCTGTACTTTCGCTTAATGCCATTTCCCAAATGTATTTGCTCTGCTCTAGATCGGTTCCCCCCCACCCCCGTGGGTTCCCTTTCCTGCCTTAGAACAGTTTTCTACAGAACTCATAGGGAACCTGTGTGAGTAGCACGGGTTCATCATTGGAGGGTGGATCAAACAAGCTGCTGAAGCTGCTGGAAAGTCTTACTGTGTTTGCCTGGGCTCCCTGCAGCTTCCAAGGGCTTCTGTGGCCCTGGACTACTTCCATTCTCTCCGCTGGCGACATTGGGTCACACCCCAGAGTGGGATGGGAAGTGGCATAACCATGCCCCATGCAGCACGTGACCCCCACATGTGATGCCCCATGTGGAAAATGCCTGTGGGGTGGGGTCCTCTGGACACAGAGCTCGAGATAACAGCAGCAGGGGCTCAGCTCACACCCAGACACCACCACAGCCAGTTCCCTGTGAGGGTCTGTGGGTTAGACTGGGGCTCACACCCATCGCCCCCAGTGATTTTCCCACAGGAGGAGTTGTTATTGTCACCACTACTACTGTGTGGAGAAACTGGAACTCAGAGAGGTTAAGTGATTTGCCTTAACCCAGCAGCAAAATGGAGACCCAGGCCCTAGTTTCTTTTACTCTAAAGGCCAGTGTTTTACTTTCTCTTGGCCGCAGCACTTACTGTCCCACAGCTGTGGATGGAGCCAACGGCCTCACAGCTGCCACAAATCATCCTCAGACCCCATGTCTCCTGCACCCCTCCCCCTCCCCTAGATGTTCAGCGACCAGAGGTTCCTAAGTGTTGCTGACCTCTGTGGAGAGAGAAGGAAGTAGTGGGAGTTTTTGATTCGGCAAGTCATGCTTGCACCTCCTCTGCCCTATTTTGCTGTTTACCATCAGTCAAAAGACACACTCTCTGGCCCCTTTAGACCATTTCCCCTCTGCCCCAAGAAGACTTTTTTGCTTGGGGTTTTGCAACGTGTGGTACACACACACTCCTCACACTGCAGTGGTACTCTTGGCCCCCACACTCCCGGTCCGCCAAGCCTTTTCATTTAATTTTTAAAAGAAATTTTAGGTTTACAGAAAAAGATTTTTTTTTTTTTTTTTTTAGGATAAGGGATGCCTGATTCATCTCTCCCCCAGCACATAGCATGACATCCGTAGGGTCAGGAATGGACACAGTGCAGGTTTTCGGATCTCATGCAGACCGGGTAAAGGAGTCAGAATCCTCAGTGGTTTTTTGCAGGTCTTTTATTGGGATTACCAGGTACATGGCAGGCAGGGGTGCTGGGGGGCCGGGAGGCTGGCAGGCCTCCCAGCCCCCAGCAAGTCTTCACTCTGTCTGGGCTCTCCAGCATTCTCTGTTTCTCTCTTGGCTTCTGCTACTTCTTTCTCAGCTTCTCTTTCGGCGTCTACTGACGCCGCCCTTAAAAGCCCGGTCTCAGCCCAGGTGAATACCATCTACTGATGCCCACACCCTACTCCAGGTGCCCGCCATCAGGCATGCATTCAGGACCGCAAGGATCCATCATCTATCCTGATGGTGGGAGGGCAGAATAAACCTGATAACTTTTACCTTACCCTACAACATCTGACACATAGTAGGTGGTCAACTACATGCCAATTGAGTGATGAATGAGGAAATGATTAGGAAAAAACAAAAAAGAAGTATATTATTTTTTTAAGATTTATTTATTTATGCAAACAGCTGGGGTACAGGGCAGAGTTGTGGGGAGTGAGAGGACTCACCAGAGACAGAGTGGGGAACAGAACAAGCAGATTGACCGAAGTACACTGCTGAGGGGAGCAGCGGGCGAGACAGGAGAGGTCTGAGCGCCATGTGAGTTTCTCCCCGACTGGCGGGGGATCCAACTCATGCTGCAGAGGCTGCGGATTGCTTCATAGGTTGCGTCTTAACCCCTTATGCCACCAGGGAGGCCTAAGAAAAAATATTATTAAGTGCATATTTGTCGTAGAAAATGAAATCGATGACTGCTTTTTGGTGTCTGAGAGTAATTTTTTTCATGGCTCTCCCCTGGCTCATTTACACGTTGTTCTGGAAACTGGGCCCGGGGAGCAGCCGCCCCTGGCAGCAGTACCGCCCGCGTCCAGGAGATGGCGCGCGAGGCCCGCAGGAAGGCCGGAGCCCAGCAGGCCAGGGGCTGCCCGCGCAGGTGATTCGGTTTTCGTGAAAGGTGAAGGCACCTGAAGCTCATTGTGCCAGCCCTATAAATACCCCTGGGCACTACGCGCTGACCCGCAAGGTTGATTTTCTGGTCGATTCCTGAGTAGAGGAGCCCTTCGGAAAGGGTTTTTAAAGGAAAAAACCTAACAGGACGTTCCAAGGGGCTTCTCATAGCCCCCTTTGGAGCAGTGTCTCCCGAAACGCTGCGGAAAGTGAGCTTTAATATAAAGGAGACGCAAGCCTCGAACTCTAACTGGCTCGAGGAAACATCCTTTTGGCTTTTTGAAGTTCGGATGTTTCGGAAATTACTCCCAGCTCGCTGGCCACGTCCCCCATAAAACTGGAAGATTTTCTCCATGTCGCATCCCCCAGCGCACCTGGGAAAGGTAAGTCAAGATTTTCCGACTTGGGCTGCCTGGAAAGAGAGAGTGGTCTAACCAAGTGGCCTGGGGAAGCGCCATGGGATGGCAATTTGCAACATGGCTTTTTTTTTTTTTAATTAATTTATTTTATACAAGCACTGGGTACAGTCAGAAGCGAGGGAGGGTGAGAGGATTCACCAGAGCGGGGAGCAGAGCAGGCAGACTGACGAGGTACACTGCTGAGGGGAGCAGTGGGCGGGACAGGACAGGTCTTCGTGCCATGTGGGACCCTCGTTGGGGGCTGGGGATCGAACCGGTGCTGAAGAGGCTGCAGGCAGCTTGGCGGCCCAGAGCTCAACCGCTGCGCCACCAGGGGAGGTCCCAACATGGCGTTTTTTGCGGGGGCTAATGAGGCTTCCAGTATTTTCTTAGGTACTGTAATTACCAAGGTGTCACTCCTTGCCCCCTGCTCCCAGGCCGTGGGTGTGACTGTGGGAAGAGGGGAAACATCGTCCTAATTTTGTGCTAAAACAGATTTTAAGGCTGCAGCTCCCCCACTCCCATTTTCCTTCTGACCTAAAAACCCTCCCCTGAGGCTGAGGCGGGCTCAGGGCCAGGCTGTCAGCAGTGGACAAAGGCGCCCTGTTCGGAAGGCCTGGCTCCTGCTTTTTCTTACATGGTCTGACAAACGCTGTTGAACTCCCCCAAGTCAATGTGATAACAGAAATATGCGAGATGGCAGTTGCCTCGGCTGCCCTCCCAGGAGGCCTGAAACGCGGCCCTCTCCAGTTTCCACACATGGCAGCAGCCTTGTTTACATGGAGCGCCTGTGTCTTTGCCCAGGTCTGGCTAGTCACGTGGTGGGCGCTGTGCTGGATGTTTCCTCAAGCAGAGAACTTGCCCTAATTTTTTTTTCTGGCTTACTGGGGAGCCAACCATTACTTATTACTAATCTCAGGCCTCAGCGCCTTTGGAGCGTGAGTGAGTGTGAGCCCTCACCCCCATGGAGGCCATTCTGCCCCCACGCCCTCCCCCCCTCCAGTCCCCTGGCTTCTCTGCCTCTGGCCGCACCAGGGCAGTGAAAGAGGACTAGGCTGGGCTGGAGACCAGGGCTAGTTCTGCTGAGCTAACCATGGCTGTGCAAATTTAGGGAGCTGGCTTTTGGCTCGTCAGATGGTTTCTGCTTCTGCAAAATGGGGATGGTAACATAAACCCTGGGTAGCTTGCTGGTTGTCTGGAGGCTACATTCACAGAGGCAGTCCTGGTGACAAATGGTGGACAGGGCTCTCTGTGGGTCTGGAAGGAGGAGGGAAGGTTAATAGGACTAGAAAGCTTTAGACCTGTGCACTTACGGGGGAGGGGCGCCAGGTGGAAAGTAGGGGAACAATGACATGAAGATAAGAATCCATGGAACATGGCCCAGGGACAGTGGGTATGTCATTCTGGTTTAATAAAAAGCTCTGTGTGTATGTGCACAAGTGAGCACCCGCCCACTCCCCCCACAATGGGGAAATGGGTCTGGAAACTTGGTATGAAGTTCAGTTATAGAGGACGGGAAGTCCCAATTGATTCCTTTGGGGAACGTTGCAAGTTTATGAGCAAGGATCATGTGCAAAGTAGTGTGAGGAAGAGAAGTGTGGCTGCTTGTGTTTCAGAGGTTTGGAGACACCAAAAGGAGGACCCATTTTGGAAATCCTTGTAAGTCCTGGGCCATGGGGGATGGTGTGTGGGACCAAGATGGCACCCAAGGGTCAGATATAAAAGTCATTATGCAGGAAGAATCCACAGGACTTGACTGAGTTTGGATTTCAGAGACTTCGAGGGTAGTGGTACCCTAGAAGACATAGGCCAGGTCACAGAGGAAAGCTGGGAATGGGGAGAAAGTTCAGTTTCAAGGGATTCCACTGTAGGTGACTGGGATCACTTTACCAAATATAAGCAGTAACAAGTGGAAGCAGAGCAGCAGCCAAGGTTGATAGGACTCCTGCAGGCTCTTCTCCCCACTCTGTCTCTTTCACAATGTGCTCTGGTACACCCAGAGCCTGGGCTGGACTCAGCCTCTAGCACCCAGTCAGTGTAAGAAAGCAGCCTTGCTGGCCAGGTTCTCTGCAGAATCAGAGCTTAGCTTAGCTGGGAAGGTCACTGGCTAGAATCAACAGCGACGGTGGCTAGGTTTCCCTTCACCCATGGCTGGTGTTCTTCTCCCTGCAAAGTCACAGCTCAGCTGTTTTTGCTGGATAGGCAGAAAGCTTAGCTGCATTTGGCAGGCTCGATCTGGGGAATACACATCAGATTTCTGCCTAAGAAGGAGAAACAACAAAGATGGTAGATCATTTTCTGAAAAGGCAAAAGACGCTCCACACATCCTGTTCAGGTCCTTTCAGAAAGCTGTTCATTTGGTTGATGGAGACATTTATTTGCTGCAGTTTCCTTGGAATCGCTAATCTCTAACAAGTGCTCAGCACCGTGCAGAGAACACTGCTGGCATTGTGAGGTGTGCATTTTAATCCTAAGGGAGTTGGAGATGCAGGCAGGACATTGACCAAATATAGACCTGGCAGAAGATAGGTCTGGGAACCCACGAGAAGGAGCTGGGTAGGGGAGGATAGGGCCAGTCCTGCGGCTGACCAGTGCCTTCCTCCCTCAGACCTCAGTTTTGGCACCTGTAAAATGAGGACACTGAGCTGGAGCACCTTCAAGCTCCTTTTGTATCCTGATAGTCTGTGATTTCTTTTATGCAAGGGTCCCAGCCTGGACCAAGGTTCTGTGGGCATTGGTGGAGAATAAAGACTCTGCCATCTGGAAAAAGCTACCTCCACGTTGGTGACCTTGGGGCTCTCAAAGCTTCTGCATGAGTCCTGGTCAGCTGGTCAGAAGTCTAGTCTGTGGTTCAGAGTCAAACCTCACATTGTCCAGTTTGTCTCTGACCAAAAGCCGGTTCTAAGAAATAACTTTTAGAAGAAATGTTTGAAAATTGGGCTTTGATCATTTTTAATGCAGTTAAAACCCTTTTTGAAAACATTTTGCAAAGCAATTAGACCCGACTTTCAAGGGGAATTTTGCTTATTAAACTTTTTAATTTTTTTAACATGGTTTATTTTTGTACAATATTTGATTTCTCCACTCATGTGTAGTCCTCATAAATCTCCCACCCCCATATCACCTGTGAACCTCACTATAGTCCCTTGTGTTCTTTCCCCTGCTGGTTTTTTTTTTTTTTTTTAAGATTTATTTATTTATTTATACAAGCACTGGGTACAGTCAGAAGCGCGGGAGGGTGAGTGAATTCACCAGAGCCAGAGTGGGGAACAGAGCAGGCAAACTGACGAAATACACTGCTGAGGGGAGCAGCGGGTGGCAGGAGAGGTCTGTGCGCCATGTGGGACCCTCGCTCGGTGGCCGAGGATCGAACTGGTGCTGCAGAGGCTGCGGGCAGCTTTGCAACCCAGCGCTCAACCGCTGCGCCACGGAGGAGGCCCCCCCTCTGCTGTTTTGACTCCCTGCTTCCCCCATGCCTTAGATCTATTGTTTGCTTGCTCATGCGCACGAGCGCGCTTGTATGTGTGTGTGTGTGTGTGTACATACCACATCTTCTTGATCCAATCAAGAAGATGGGCTTGTTTATTTAGGTTGTTCCCATGTCTTAACTTTTGTAAATGGTGCTGCAATAAACACAGGAGTGATAATTTCCTTTCAAATTAATGTTTTTGTGTCTCAAAGGGAATTTTTAAATGTAGAATTGAAATGAGACAGATAAAACTGCCTGTTCAGGTCAAAGGGCCCCAGAGTCTTCACAGTAGCCCCACCTTCTGACCCCAATCTTCTGAGGAGCTCTGGTTGAAAGTGGCCCACTGAGGGTCAGGTGATCTAATGGCAACTATGGGGGCAAGTGAGGTCCCTGACTCCATGTCTACATTATGCCCTTGCTTCTGACCAAAAGTCGCTGTAAGAACCAGGCATGGATGCTCCTTCTATATCGGCTATGATGCGTCCATCTAAAACACTGCCATTGCACAGTGTCCACTGTGGAATGCCCCATATGAGAAGTTTCTCATAACCACAAACCACATGGGAAGTCAGCAGGGAACACTTATTAGAGTTACAGGACCATGAGGCCAGCATAGCAATTATGTGCAACAGACATAGACAAAGTGTGGATGGAATGCTTTGGGTTACTTGGGGAAAACAGAACAAGACTTTAGGAGGATGTGGTACCTGAGCTTTGGAGAAATTGGCTAAGACTTTACCAGCACAGGTGAAAGCATGCATGAGGCTCAGGATGGGCAGGCACGGCATGTTTAGGGGAGCTATGAGTGTGAATTCAGGACTGGATTCCTGGAAGGAGGAGCAGGGGCTTGAGGGGAGGCAAGCATGTCAGGCCTGTGTAAAGGGCAGACATTTCTGCCCCAGGAAAGCTTAGATTTTTCCCTGTAAATGGCTTCGAGGCAAGGGAACAACCTAAGTGACCACGTTGAGACAATGTGGAGGGTGGGCTGGAGGGTTGAAATCAGCAGTAGAGAGACTGTGAAAAGCCAGTGACCAATGGTGCCAGAAATACAGAGAGATCCAAAAAAGTAAGGACTGGAAAGCTTCCTTTGGATCTGGCAGAAGGTCACTGGTGACCTTGGTAATTCAATTCGTTTCTAGCAGATGCCTGTTATATGCCAGTTACTGTTCTTAGAGCTTGGGCTATATCAGTAAATAATTTCATTCTGGTGAGGAAGAAATGGCTAATAAAGAATAAACTTAACACATGAGTATATTTATAACTTGCTAGAAGGTGGTAAATGCTATAGATAGGGAAAACTGTCAAACAAGGAATGTTGGGGAGGGGTTGCAATTTTAAATATAAAGGTCAAAAAGTTACATGTCAGCAAAGACTTGAATGTGGCAACAAGTTGTCCATGTGAATATATGGGGGAAAAACACCTGGGAAAAGGCATTACGAATGCAAAGGTGAGGTGTTCTGGCATGTTCTAGAAACGGTATGGAAATCACTGTGACTGGAGGTGAGGGAGGGAGAC